CCGTTTCCGCCTCCTAACGGTCCTTCACTGGCAAAGCCTCCACCGCCTGCTCCTAGTCCTGGGCTGGCGTAAGCGCCTCCTCCTCCGCCTAGTCCTCCAAAGGCTGGTGCTGCTAATCCACCACCGCCACCACCTCCGCCGCCATACGATCCTTCACTGGGGAAGCCTCCACCGCCTGCTCCAAGTCCTGGACTAGCATAAGCTCCTCCGCCTCCTGCTCCTCCTCCTATGGGTCCGTAGCCTCCTCCTGCTGCTCCAGGCCCATAGCCTCCTCCTCCAGCGCCTCCAACTGCGTATGCACCTCCTCCGCCTCCATAGCCTCCTCCACCACCATAAGAAGGAGACGGTGCGGGAGATTCAACTTTGATGATGTAAACAGGTGTTGCACCTCCTCCACCTGAACCGCCTCCTCCTCCACCTCCGCCGCCCATTGGACGGCACATAGGCGTACAGGGTTTGCTAAAAGGTCAAAATCAGCATTTTAAAAGTTTAAAATTCTACACATAATGAGGAACTAACTACAATGCATGATTTGTAAATACGCTAAGCATGCGAGAAGAAAGAACCTTCAATTGCTCACCATGGGCAACCGCCTCCGCCGCCGCCGCCTCCTCCTCCTCCTCCGAATAGACTCCCAAGACCACCGAACAGTGCATTGAAAATTGCTCCTGCACCAGAGCATATTGCAAGTAGAATGATTATACGACGCATATTGTTGAACGATCGGTGATAAGGCGATGAATTTGCTTAAACCAGCATAGAACATCGAAGGGACTCAGCTATCGAATGAGAAACGTAATCAGTAGGACTTACCACTCTGAAACCTGAACCAGTGTGAGATTTGGACCTTCACTCAGCTTAAATAGGCATAGCGGTTCCAGATAGAAGCTGGTTTAATCGTTTAATGACGATTTCGAAGAAGTCTGAGCATTGGACAGATTGGACTGCTGGACATTTCACTCTGTCGCCGCCCTCTTAATTACGAAGGAAGTGAATGCACAGAAGTTTTGACCCTTATATTTGGATCTTGCAGTAACTGGGGGTATACTTCCTGGAGAGATCATTTTTTAAAATCTTTTGTGAGAAAGCAGCTAAGGCCTATGAGGTTCTCCCAAACGAAATCTTTTGCTCAAAGGGTTACACCTGTGTTCTGAATGTAAGTCCTTTTTGAGGTAGCACAAGCAGGGGAGAGTTTTTCACACTGAATTTTCAATCCGTCCAAGGAATCTTATTAGGAGCTCCTCTCACTAGCAGGACTGGCTCTGGCTTACGAAATGAAATCAAAAGAAATACGGTCGTTTCGCTTAAGCGCTACTCTCCATGGTCATAAGCTGAAACGAGCCTTACTGTCTGGGCATATTACTATAAAGGAGTCTCAATGCCAGCTTGTGTTATATCGTATTTACTGTTAATGTTTACTATTTATATAGATTTTCAAAATGAAGTAGTGTTGAGTGGGGGCTGTCACACGAATATGATGGTAATGGAATCCTGGGTGATGCAGCCTGACCTTCGATCCTTCCGGTGTGGTTAATTGATAACAGACCTTTAGAGAGGACCAAAGCACAGGTTTGCGTCTTTCAAATTCTAGGCAAAGTGGGCACTCAAACAGCGATTCTGTGCAGAAATGAGCGCTTGGGTGCATCCTGAATCAAGGTTGATTTTGTGGTATGCCTTTTAAGGTCATCTGACTGAAAGAGATCCCAGTCCTGCCTTCCCATCTTTCAGTTCTTCCTTATCTTCCAGAGAGGATCATGCTCGGGAAACTTTGAAATTCTGGAGCCTTTTCTTTATCGAGACTCGTTGTTTACGTTCATGCTTCTTCTTACGAAAAATTCCTTTTTCAATTGCAGCGAGTATAAAAAAATTCCTTCGAGCCACTACGGGTTTGAGTCTATCAGGGCTGGTTCTACAGTTCCACTTTTTCTAAGTGTCAACGCAGTTAAAAGCTCAGTTTTCTTGGAACTACTTCACCCCCTAAAATATCTTTGCATTGCAAGTGCGACAGTTGTAATGTAGGTACTTCTACTGTCCTTTGTTGAAACTAAATAATGGAAAAGAGTTAAAAAATGGAGCTTCAAGAATCGGACTATATTTGTATTCTTATTCTCGAAGCTGTGCAGTGTCCTCAGTATTTCACTTTTGACTAAAAATCTCTGATTTCTAGTAAATAGAAGGAATCTTCTCTAACAAATCGCTCAAGACATCGGAGAAATTTAGACCAAAGTGGAATACTTAGGACACTGCAACTCTTTTTGGAGTGATGTAGAACGAAACTTTCATGGTTGTCCAGGTTGCCTTACACCTGGCTTTCGGGTGATCGTCAGGAGTTAATCACTATTTCTGGTATGATTGCCTTGCGTAAACCTTATTAAACTCCCGAGTGAAAAAGTTCTCCATTGAGTGGCTAGTAATTAGCTTCTTTTGAATGGAAGCTGGTGGCTGAACCCATCAGGGAACAGCTGACATCTTTCGTCATCTTTAGGATCACCCTTTTTTAATAGATGGCTTTTTGAAGTCTAAGTTGATCGGTAGCCATCAAAGATGGTACGTTCTGGTTGAATTGAGCGTTTTTGATTAAAGGTTTTTGAGATTTCATTAGCGTTTTAATTGGACTCCGACCGTTTGGACCTTGAAAATAAAATGATGAGTATCACCATCGCAACAACCAGTACTTGTGCAAGTTTTTAAATAAATCCATTAGTGAATGTGATCTTTCTCAGAGATTTGAATCTGCTCGTTTTTTCTGCCGTAGAACCAGTCGAATGGCAAAGGTCTGGTCTGTCGTTGTATTCGATCGAACCCCTTCCGGTTCCATGCCTGACAGGGGGACGTGCTTCTCGTAATGTTGTAATATTCATTTTGTATATTTGTCAGTCACTGGCAGAGTAAATTAAAAGTTAATCGTCCTAGGTAATCACTGAACTGTAAACGTTCGGACAACACACGACCAATCAGCAAATATGTGCCCTGCCCTGCCAGTGATTGACAAATATGTGGTCATCTTGGAGGGGGAGGAATAGTACAGGATGAGATGATCAGTAGTCGGCCTAGCCGATTCGTAGTAGAAGTGAGGCTGATTGCTTTTTGATTCGTCGTATTTTAGGTGTAAGACAGGATCCGATTGGAACGTAACCTTCAATATGTTCACTTATATATATTTTTTGTTCGTTATAGGTTAGCACTGACAGAGAGAAAGGTTAGCTGTAGCCCTTGGCAATGTAATGAGACGTCGAGGTGGCGTCTTCCTTGGAGAAGCTTTTTTTTCGCTTTTAAAGTGTATCGGCTTTTGCTGGCTCAGAAAGTGAAAGTATCACAGTGAAAAAAGCTTGCGACTTTGGAAAAACTTCTTTTTTCTTTTGAAGGGGTGGGAGTGAAGGTTGGAAGTATGGGAGCAACATTACTGGCAAAAACTTTTGGACGGCGAACATGCGAAATGATTTATTAATGTATTTCAGACGTAGCACACACACATGAACTGCACAAAATCCTGAATATGTTCCAAATACTCGAATTCCAAGTCAAAATTCACCTTCATTATATTTATCTATTAATTCATCTATGAAGAAAGGTTTTACAGGCTGAAATCGGACGTGGCGCTTTTTTTTCTACGAGACTGGATATATTTTTTCTGCTTTTCAAGTGAACAGGGGCTTCAGGGAGTTAAGAGGAATTAGGTGAGGAAGAGTGTTCCAGATTAAAAACTTCGCGACTTCAGTGAATATTTTTAGAAGGGGCGGAGGGAAGGGGTAGAGGGGTGTTGGGGTTAATAACCCAAGCGTTGGCACGACTTTTTAAATAACAGCGGTACTTTTTTGTTGAAAAATTTGTTGAAGAAGAACGAGAAAGCATAGAAATGAAAAGCATCCAAAAGGTCCGGAATTAAATGCCAAACTCATACCATCCCACCCACTTATGGACTTGATCGAGCTTCTGGTGGGAGCCAGTTCAGGCTAGGAAAACCATGTATATTAATTAACCAATATTAGCTAATCAGTTGATGTTTGCTGTGAAGCAGATGGGATGTAGGATGGACGGCATCGATATGCTCATTTAATTAATCCAACATCAGGTTTTTACAACAGGTTTATTAGTACAAATCGGAAGTAACCAAAATCGTTGTCCAGCGTTCGAGTCCATCTGCCAGACGAGCAAAGTGCCATATTTATTTACAGTCAACGCCATATTCAAAGGAATCGGAGGCAGTTAGAAAATGAGATAACATAGTAACACCCACACTGTTTCGATATTGCGAGGGAAAATTGCAACCGCCATATATATAAATATCAAGAGGGATCACACCCACAAAGAAATTATCCTAAATTTTGAAGTAGCTACGGAATCTGATCTTCAACAACAAAAACTGTTAATCTCTCTGCATCTTGCTTATCCGGCATATGCAGATGCTGGAGCGACGGCAATCTTGGGCATTGAAGGCGCGACATAGATGGGGTCGGGAGCAGCATATGTAGGAGGCGCAACATACGTGGGTGCTGGAGGCGCGGCGTACGTGGGTGCTGGGGCCGCGACGTACGTAGGAGCTGGAGGAGCGACATATGTAGGGGCTGGAGCTGGAGCTGGAGCAGCTACATAGGTAGGCTCTGGAGCTGGAGCGACATAAGTAGGTGCTGGAGGAGGAGCAGCATACGTAGGTGCTGGAGGAGCGACATATGTAGGCGCTGGAGCTGGAGCTGGAGCAGCTACATAGGTAGGCTCTGGAGCAGGAAGTGGAGGAGCGACATAGGTAGGCTCCGGAGCGGTGGCGTATGTAGGTGCTGGAGCAGCGACATATGAAACTGCTGGAGCGGCTGCCGGAGCAACTTGTATTGGAGCAGCCGCTACTGGGGCAGCTTGTACCGGAGCAGGAGCTGCCTGAGCGACTGCTACTGGAATAACTTCTATTGGAGTTGGGGCTACGGGGGCAGCATGTACTGGGGCAGCCGCTACTGGAGCAGGGGCTGCTTGAGCAAGAGTTATGGGAGCAACTTGTACTGGAGCAGGCGCTGCTTGAGCGATTGCTATGGGAGCAATTTCCACTGGGATGGCTGCTGGAGCGGGAGCTGGAGCAGGAGCTGGAGCAGCGATAGCCAGTTGAACATATTCAACTTGAGGAGCTGCTGGCATCCTAGCACTGGTAATTGGTACACAATCTGTTGCTAACGGAGCAGGAGACGACGTTGCCGGTGCAGCCGGTGGACAGACTTGAGCAGCGGGGCTGAAATACGGAAGTTACTTCAATTTTGAAAGTGATAAGCATCATATGTTACAGGCAGTAAAGTGTCCTGAGGGCGTGCTATAGTTCGGCAATCAGCAAACTCTTACCATCCACATCCAGCATTGCCGAACCAGCTTGCATCAACTGAAACGGTTAATGCCAGGAGAACGAGTAGTCGAATCATGAAGGCAACTGTTCTGATAAAAGTCACACAGAAACAATCTAAACCTGAAAGAGAGAGGAATGAGGTAGATACTGAGAGGAATCTGATGGAAGGGTTTCACTTACAAAAATGCGTTCGTCCGAAAAAGATTTCGAGATTTGCTTAGTGCCTTCTAAGCTGCTTAAATAGCCACAATTTTATCAGCGACGAACAGCTTTTTGTGTTCAATGATAACCGATCCGTTGTGGGGGAGGGAATTTCGAACAAAAGATGGATACAGGTGGATGAATTCTCGAAATTGATTGTTGTCTCTTCTTTTCCTTGTCAATATCGTCGAGAACTGATGAATGTTCTGGAATATTGCTAATACCTTCAAACTTTGGAGTTTTTAAGACGTCCCAGATGTAGCTAACGCTCATAATTTAAGTTTAGGTTTACCGTAATTCGGTTTCGGACAGCTGTCTACTGCATCAGCTCCAAGGACGGTCTCTTTTTTTCAACTTTTGTGTTTCTTCATTTATTTACCTTTCAACTATTTGGAAAACGCTCCCTTTCTTCCATTAGGAATTCAGCGGAACTCCAACTGGGAAACAATCACTGTCAAGGTCGGTGGCCTCCTACATAACTATGAGAACAGCCGGTAAGCAGAATTTTGGACTGAAGTGATATTTCG